CTACAGGTGTAAGCCATCTTTGGCAGTGGGGAATTAATGATGTGAGGAAAGAATCTTTAATGAAACATCTTCTGATATTTCCCACTGACATTCTAGGGGGCCATAAAGGTGATTGCTTAATTAGCCAGTGCCTCAACTTCCTTTTTGAGAAGAGGCTGTTGAGTCTAAGTACTGTTCACTGCAGATATCAACTGGCATTTACCATTGGTATGGTGATACCGTCGGCTTGGGAGGCCTCTTTACCTTCTCTAGTCCAGGGGTCTCGAAACCTTTCTAAACAAAGGGCCAGTTAACGTCCTTCAGGCTTTAGGGTGGGCCAACTGTGGCCAACTGTGGCCAATGGGACTAGAAAATGCTCCAGCATCAGTAGGAGTAACCACTGCCCCATCATTAGTTTTAGTGGGAGGAATAGTGTCCCGTCATTGATGTCAGTGGGGGGAGTGGTGTGCCAAGGGCTGGATAAAGGTGAACAAAGAGCCATATATAGCCCACAGGCTGCATTTTGGTGACCAGTGCTCTAGTCCATTACACAAGACTCCTCATATGGGCACCAGACCTAAGGAATACATTACTTTACAACTAAATCTATGTGTACCCATCTCCTGGTGGCTTCTGTAATTATCCACTGGCCCTTACTCTCAGAGGTATCTCATCCTCTTTCAGTTCAGCAATCAGTCTGCAGATTGTAAATGCTGCTAAAAGACACTATGCACACCATGTCATATGCTCGATAACATTATGGAACTCGTCAGTCCAAAACACATCTTGTTGGGTCAGTGGATCAGGTACAGGCATATACTTGAGCAGAATTAGTTCTACTTGGTGCAAATATCTTGGCCTCCTTGGATATTAGAAATCCAAAGGTGGACAAAGTCTCAGACCAGTGGTTTCTTCTAGAAAGGAAGGTTCTGCAAGCCACACGCTAATGACATATCTTGATGTCTCCTACCACCCACAAATCTCTGACTGTCTCTTGTGACTCAGTACCTCACTCACTACATCCACAAAATACTCATAGCTACCACCCTATGGTGGAAGGAAAAGGGCCATAAGTATATAAACATACTCTACACACCTCCATTCTTTACAAATATTTTACATGATATGCTTTGCTGTTTCTGAAGGTGCATTGTTTTGCCCTGTATAATGTATAAACCACTTAACATGAAATCTGCAGTTTGGGCATATTTTATTTTAATGACTTTGTAATGCTCTAAGACCATATGAAGTCATTCAAATTGTTTGGTCATGAGCATTGATCCAGTTGCTAATAATAGTCACTTATTTCGTGGATCAGCTTTCAAGAGTTTCCTAGTCTTGTCCACGTGGTGAATGGGTCCTAAAGTCAACCAGAACTTTTCCGTATGGAATAAATGCTCCAAGGTATGGACAGCATGTGACACGCTCTCCTCCTTTCTCCCAAAATGCAGCCCTTGTGCCTGAAGGGCCAGAGGCCAGACCTAAGTTCTCTCTCACATGTAGTAGAGCAGTGGTGGACTGGAAGGAAGGGATCTTAAAGCAGCAGCATACAAACTAGCCTGAAAAAGCTGTGTGCATTTTGGAACAAATGCCAAGCCTGTAAAATGCAATGACTAGATATTGGCTGCCACAGCCAGTTGTGCCTGTTTGCACATCCAGCGAATTACCTGCAGTGATCATGGCTGGATGCACTTTGCGAATGCAGCCTTGGTCCACCTTACTTAATGGATAGGATCACCTCTCATAACATGTTATATATTACATGCATATCCTGGGTGTAGCATGTTATGAATGGACCAGCCCCCGTTCACGTATTTTGACAGGTAGTGGGGCATCTTCTCTTCTCGCTAGCTGTCAAAATTTTAAAAAATCTTAACAAACCGGCTGTGGGGCTCAGCCTGCCCGGCCACGGCAATCTCATTCACAGTCCTCTGTGAATGAGAAAACTACAAGTTCCAACAGCCTTAGCAGCTGTGAGTGCTGTGGTGGTTCATTGATTCTACCTGATATTCTGACTAAAAATTAAAGCTTTGCTGATCTTCTTGTAGCCTTCACCTTTCTTGTGTAAATAAATTATTTCTATCTCAGGCCTTGTGACATTTCTCTTTCATGTGGTGCCATTGCTGACAGTATGAAATGGGAAGGGGTATTCTTTGTTAATTAACACCCTTTTATAATTGTCTGCTGGACACCTGTTTCATGAATAATTAGACTTACCTGTAATTGAATTCTTGTTAATTAGGATTTTATTGTCTAAAATTTAGCTCTGCTCCTAAAATTTTTATTGGGGTGTATTCATTTTTGCAACATGGTCTTGAATGAATTTGTTAGGAAAAATACTTTTGTGTGTGCAAATGAAGAAATCTTGTTTGCAATCAATGGCCAGCATTTGTGGCAGTATTTTGTAGTATAGTATCCCATAGAAAATGTTGATTCGGAAAGGAAAGGAAAGGAAAGGTTTTCTGACAAATCTGTTGGGGTCTACTCATTTATGCTGAGCACTGTACACTGGCAGGTCTGCTGGAGACCTGCATGGCACCAGCAATCTGCTGATCACTGGTGCAATGCTTTACAGGCTCCCAAAACAAAAAATAATAAATGCACATTTTTTTACCTGCCAAAAAATGTGCATTTATTATTTTTTGTCAAAAGGTGCACTTATCCTTTAATGTCAGGTTTGGTATTCAGCTTTTCTTGCAACGTAGTGGCCCAGGGGGAAGAAGCTGAAGGAAAACTTAGCCAATTTCCTTCTGTTTTTTTTTTTATGCAATACTATTAACAAGAACAGTTTATGGATCACTGGTCATATGCGTAGGAGCCAGCAGATTCCACCTTTTATAAGTTTAAAGTAGTGAGACCAATGAAAGGTGAATTTAGATAGCTGCATGTTCATAAGGCTACATTCACCCTCCCGAATAGCAGTGGCCAGGCGTGTCCACCATCAAAAATTTGTAGATTCTTGCAAGTGGTTGTAAATGCTACCAACACACACTGTGTGCGACCAGCAGCAGCTGTCATCTGTGGCTGTCAGATATGTACAGATCAATGGCTGGTGCTGGTGCTCTTCTCATCTAAGTGGATACATGCATATAGAATCTTTGACTGACCCTGGATGCAGACAATGTGTGTTCAACGTTGGCACAGTTTTGGCACAGATAATTGGCCAGTTTAAATGCGGCCATAGCACAGAGTGTTGCTGCTTCCAGAGAGAGTATTTAGCTGCCTCTGAACACAGCAAACCATCTACAGATATGCACCCATGTGGATGTAGTCCAACCAGGCTTGTACTACATAACTAAATCTAATGTACAAAATTAAATTGGTCTGATTAGGTATAGTCCTTTAAACTTGCTATAGAAATCGTATTCCATATAATTTGGTCCTGGGTGGTATTTTAGCAATTTTTTTTTACCCCTGACCAGTATATGCTTATTTGCTTAGTTCCTGTCTTCATAGTCAGATTTGTTCCATTGATTTTAGTGTCATGGTTTGATGAGATTGGGCACATTCCTAGTGCCCTATACAATACATTCACACGCACAATTCTTTCTTGGTATTGGGTCTACTGAAAATTCACAGCATTGACTACAAATCTAAGGCTATTACACAAATAGAGCTGAACTTAGCAAACCAATGTATTTGGAAATATGAAAGAATACATTTTAGCTTGCTTACTGTATTGTTTTATTAACTTCTGCCTGAGGAATGGTTGGGGATTTCGATGCCTTGGCGATCATTTGTTTAGCTGCCATGGGAGCGTGTACCAGAAGTTTGAACTTAAAGAGACCTGGAGAGTTAACACAGAGAAGTGCTACTTTTAGTGTCAGGGGAATCGGTTGTCCCCTTAGTTTAGTAAGAAGTGATAGACCGTTAATCCAGAGTCTATGGACCACCTCCAGACATGACCACCAAGTCTGATAAAAGGATCCTAATTGTCCTCATATGCGAAAACATAGGGGGGAATAACCAGGTATGCAATGTGCAACTCGAACCTGGAGCAAATCCCATTGTGCCATAACCTTGTAGTTAGTTTCAATATCCAATACAATACAGGATCTAGATTTCACGGTTTCCCTTTTATGGTTCTATTCCTCTTCTTCCACAACTGACACTAAATTGTCATACCTCTGTTTCTTTGAAAGAAGTTGCGTGACTGCACTGAAGTGTCACTTCAACAAATATGATGTTGGGGGACAAAGTACATTTGGGGGGTTAGAGAATGCAAAATCAGGCTCACTTCTGCATAGAAAGCAATCAGTTTCTAAGCTCAGCTTGTTTAATTAAGCTTGAGCAATAAAAACTGGAAGTTGATTGGTTTCTATGCAGAAATGAGCCTGGTTTTGCATTCTTCTCTTTTAGTAAATAAACCACTTGGTGTATTTTCCGCAGTGCATTGTAGCATTTAGAAATGTTTTTCTGTAATTAAAAGTCATGATATGATGTTTTGAAGTTTGACGTCATTCTCATTTTGTGTACACCTTTTATCTTCTCCCTCATCGCTTTCCTAAATCTTTCCACCACACTAAGGGACAGTGCTGACCACATTGGTAACCTCTGATATCGAAGAACAGCTAATCCTTGCTAGCTACCAGTCTAGCATTCATCTAGATATTGATAGCATTTCACAAACAAGGCTAGGTAGCCTATTCTTTCGTTGAGACATCCTAAATTTTATTTTTCATTTGCTTCTGCCAAAGATGGATGCTTGAGCCCTGCACATCATAACTTTTAATTGTTCTGATATCAACAAAATAAATACATTTTCCAGTTTCTGATCTGTAAGGAGCTAATCAAGATTTGGATAGTAGAGGGTCCTTGGTTTCAGGGTGCCCTGGGCTCTGCTCTTGGCATTTCTGTAACATTAACATGACCACCATTTTTTCTCTAAGGCTTTACCTTCTTTGAGATACTGACATGGTTTGACATGTGTAAATTTTAAATTATCCTAATATTGCTGGTTTAATTTTGCAGGTTTAAAACTACTGGGATAAAGACTCTAGATTATTGCATTCCACCTTGGATCGGAAATCCTGATTTGTACTGTGACTTCAATGGAAAAATCTCTCGGCGATCTAGAGGGCAGCACCACAGGGGAGTCTAGCCGTGACCTGCTACCTGAACCCTTACACCGCCCCACCTGGGGCAGCAAACTTCAGTACATCCTTGCTCAAGTTGGCTTTTCGGTTGGTCTTGGGAATGTTTGGCGGTTTCCTTACTTGTGCCATCAAAATGGGGGAGGTGAGTGTTTTTAGCTTTCAAGAGTTCGGGAATGTTGGCCAATAAGGGTATCTGCATGTAAAGGGGAGAATATGGTGCCTGTTATTTTCTTTTATGTTCAGTACTGAAAAATAAACTATTTTTATTAATTGGATAACTATAAATTATTTGCAGTTAGTTGATAGTAAACTATGCAATAGGATGAGCTCTGTGCCTTCTCCTTATTGCAACTACGGTGAAAAAAAAAATCTGAATAAGCCAATCAGTAAGCCTAATCAGTTGGTTACCAACGAACATGTAGGCACCGGTAAGCTGCTCATAGACTGAATCTTGGCTGGTTCCGCAGGCACTGGCCGAGATTGGAACCATGTATGGGCAGGCTGATTGTACGCAAGTTGATCGATTGGTTCCCACGGTTGCAGGAAAGAAAATTAAACCATCTATGGCTTTTATGCTTTCTTAAGGGCATTCTTGTCCATCTAGGATGCTACACAAGGCCTGCCTGCAGCCAGTGCATACCTGCATCCCCCACTCCATCCACTACCTAAAGGATAATTAGACCAAGCCAGCAGCAGTTTTGCTGTGTGCATGGCTGTTTTTCTGTGCACAGTGAATTGCATCTGAATAGGTACATGTACGATTCAGATTCTTTCCACTGGGCTCAAGATAACATCCTGAGCGCATCCCAATACAGACAAGACCCAGATGTCCTACACAAGTGTTTACGAAGCCCTGCATTCTTTGCACACTAAGAGTCATTAATGCACCCTGTACTAAATGCTTGTATGAGCTCTTGTCCATAATGGGCATGGTATTGACACAGCTCCAGATGATCCACATTGGCTCACAAGTGATATGATCCAAACATATTTAGACAGAATAAAGGTGAATAAAGCACCTGGACCGGATGGCATACACCCACGGGTCCTTAAAGAATTGAGCTTTGTCATTTCAAAGCCATTGTTTCTAATTTTTAGGGGCTCTTTAATGACTGGCATAGTACCACTGGATTGTTGTAAGGCCAATGTGGTGCCAATATTTAAAAAGGTGTCAGAATCTTTACAGAGTAATTATAGACCTGTTAGTTTAACTTTTATAGTTGGGAAGATACTGGAGCGATTAATAAAAGACCACTTATATGAATTCTTTGCTGGAAAAAATATTTTAAGCTACAGACAGCATGGATTCATGAAAGACAGAAGTTGTCAAACAAATCTTGGATTTTGCAAAAGCGTTTGACACAGTTCCCCACACATGGCTAATGTGTAAGGTAAAGTCTACAGGCTTGGAAAAATCTGTATGTAAATGGATAGAAAACTGGCTAAAAGATCGTTTTCAGAGAGTAGTGGTTAATGATTCATACTCTGAATGGTCTAGGGTTGTCAGTGGTGTACCCCAAGGTTCAGTGTTGGGACCCTTACTTTTTAATATATTTATAAATGATATAGGGTCTGAGATTTAAAAATCCCATTTCAGTCTTTGCAGATGACACCAAGCTGTGCAGTGGAATAACGACCTTGCAGGATGTCTCCAATTTACAAGCCGACCTCACTGCACTGCTTAATTGGGCAACTATGTGGCAAATGAGGTTTAATGTTGATAAATGTAAGGTTATGCACTTGGGGGCTAAGAATATGCATGCATCATACATACTAGGGGGGGGGGGTACAACTGGGGGAATCAATGGTGGAGAAGGATCTGGGGGTTCTGGTAGAACACAAGTTTAATAGTGGCATGCAATGCCAAGCTGCGGGTTCTAAAGCGTGCAAAATCCTCTCTTGTATTAAAAGAGGTATAGACTCCAGAGAGAGAGATATAATTTTACCCCGGTACAAATCATTAGTAAGACCTCATCTGGAATATGCAGTTCAGTTTTAGGCACCAATTCACAAAAAGAACATTGGGGAACTGCTCGTCATATTGCTGTTCGCGCACAACACAAATCGTACATTTTTTTTCGTTTACAGGATAAACAGTCATGCTCATGCACACTTCATGCTCATTCATCAATTCATCATATTATTCTCAATCGATTCCAATACTCATTCAAAAATCGTTCCCTCATACTAAAAAAATTCCAACAAGACTTCTTTTTTTTTTTGTCATAAATCTTTACATTTTGAGAATTTATATGAACCCATTTACATTCAGAAAGTCGCACGATCGAGTGTTTCAAACTTTCCAACAATGGACAGCCTAATGGTGGGCATACATGCTATGATTGTATTATCTGATCAAAGTATGATTAGATCAAATGGATTGAATCGCCAAACAATTAAATAGTCATAAGTTCCCTTCCAATTGATTTAGACTGAGGTCAATCAGCCAGGGTGGAAAATTATCAATACATTTGCATTGCATGGCAGCACTGAGATGTTTTGGTCATGAATCCGATCATATTTCGGTCAATCAAGATTATAGGATTACAGAGTTGAAATAGAGGTATGAAAACATACTATCGTTTCTTCCTATCTACCACCAATTGATCGAACTCCACTTCCTGTGTGTGGCATGTCGATTTATTGGGTTGTTTAGAGATCGATTATTCCTAATATCATTTGGAGAAATTGATCAGAAATGTAAATCAATAATTTATCAAAGCATGTATGGCCACAATTAGCAATGAATGCTGTGCCTACTGGTAATGGGTTTTGTAGGAAGAAGGGACTCTCTGTATTAATAAACAGGGAAGGAGGATATGGGGGATTTTCTTTTACACTGGTTGCCACTATAAAGGAGAATACTTGTGTCCTCTGTGACCAAAGGAATTCTGTAGCACATTTTCTGACTTCCTTCAGATAGTCAAATAAGGGAAAATCATTTCTTATCAAAATGCTAACACAAATGGCAAAGGTACACGAACAAAATGTTCTTGAACATGTCAACATGCCCGTGAATAGTCGCCTCCCAACAACACTACCTACAACCAATCATAGCAGTCACACCCAGACACACCCCATGTCACCATCCGCTGAAGGAAAAAATGTACTCAACCTTGCTGTCAGTTATTGTCTCACTTGTTGAGCACAGTTCCTACCATGGCCAGTGTTCTAGGTTGTCTACCTTTTTATGGTTTAAACCAAAGCAGAATAACATAAGTAACTCCTTCAGGTTCCATTCCTCTCCTCTTGGGGTTAGCTGAAGTCTAAGGATGAAGGCTGTGACAGTGTTGTGTTGCAGTCAGTGGGCAGTAATGATGGGGTGTAAGTAGTAGAGATGCACCAAAATTTCGGTGGCCGCAAACACCACTTTCGGCTGTCGGCTAATATGACAAGAAGCACCAATACAGGTGTCGAAAAAAACCCTGTCCCTCGCCATCGCCTGCCCCTCACTGCTGCCCCCCTCCCCGCCTCTACCGGCTGCCGCTCGGTAGTTCTCAGTCTTACCTGAGAAACCATTGAACGATCCCGGTGCTGGGCATAGAGATTAGTGAAGCAAAGATGGCCTCCACTCATCTCTATACCCTTGGAGGACCGGGAGCGGTGTCACTTCCGGTTCCGGCCATTTTTTTTTTTTTAAGCACTAGATCAATGCTTTTTTTTTTTTTTTTTTTGATCCAATGGTTTACATTGAAGAGGAGAGATGTGGGGTCTTATTGACCCCATATCTCTCCATAAAGAAGACCTGTCACTAAATATTTCTATCACAAGGGATGCATGCATTTCTTGTGATAAGAATAAAAGTGATTAAAAAGGGACAGGTTAAAAAAAAAAAAAAAAATTAAAAAAAAAAAAAAAGTTTAAAGTTCCCCTGTCCCCCCCCGTGCTCGCACGTAGTGCCACCTAACAGTTCCAGTCAGTGCCATATATGAGTGCTGCCTTTCAGTGCCATATATCAGTGCTGCCTTTCAGTGCCCATATATCAGTGCTGCCTTTCAGTGCCCATCAGTGCTGCCTGTCAATGCCCATCAGTGATGCCTGTCAATGCCCATCAGTGATGCCTGTCAATGCCCATCAGTGCCGCCTATCAGTGTCCATCAGTGCCCATCGCTGCAGCCTCATTAGTGCACATCAGTGAAGGAGAAAAATCACTTATTTACAAAATGTTTTTTAACAAAAACTAAGAAAAAACGTTTTATTTTTTTTTTTTAAATTTCCAGTTTGGTTTTTGGTTTGTTTAAGAAAACATAAAAAAAAACCCAGAGGTGATTAAATACCATCAAAATAAAGCTCTGTCACAAAAAAATGATAACATTTTCATATGGGTACAGTGTTGCATGACCGCGCAATTGTCATTCAAAGTGCAACAGTGCTGGAAGCTGGAAATTGGCCTGGGCAGGAAGGAGGTATAAGTGCCCAGTAGGCTAGTGGTTACAGAAGAATTCCAGGTATGGGTATTTTATATATAGTTACAGCTGAAAATCACTGAAGTAGACTTTGCTACACCAGTGATCTCCACTTTCTTCTGGGTCCCATGCTGAGCGGTTACCCTGCTGCACTCTGAACACAGGATGTCGTCCATTCAGCACAAGCACCATTCAAAGAAGGCTTTGCATTATTATTTTTTTTTTTTTAACAACGCATTCTCTGATTGGATGAGGTAGCTGAGCGGAGGCATCACACTACTACTGTTAAGTCTGTTCAAAACGTTCTCATTGACTGATGTTCTTCTTTAAATGTTTAACATTTAGCGGCTCTTTATTGTCTTATTTGGCTAGTGCTTCTCCAGGTTGTATTTCCCATTTCCACAGCAGCAACAACTAGAAAAGCTACAATTTCTGGGGAACTTGTGTGAAGTGTTCTTGCCTCCACCAGTAGTCTACAACTGGAGTGGGCTGAGTAACTGGGTGGAGTGGCTTGAGTCACTCTGCTGCCTGCTCACACACCTGTGTTCCTATGGCAACTCACTCTACAGCAAGGGCAGAGAAGAGCGGTTAAAAACAAACTGCTCCAACTTGCTCACTTTACTGGCGGTTGCCATCTTCAAACGGTTGTAATTTAAAAATGATATATCCTACACCAAAGAGCTTTATATTGTGAGAATCACCAGACCTACATTTTGATGCATAGTATGTCTCTGAA